AGCCGGCGAGCGGCTGACCCAGACCCCGCCCCGGCAGGTGAGCCTGCGGAGGGTCCTGCTCCGCCTCCGCCGTCCCGTCGGTTCCGCGGAAAGGACCACCCACTCGGCGTGGGCGCCGTCACCACGCCCTGGCCCAGGTGCCAGGAACCTGTGCTTTAACAAACTAGTTTGAAAACCTGAAACATTGGTCTAAAGCAATCACACCCCTCTTTTTACCAAATAAACTTTTATTCGGAATGATTTACGATTTACAGAAAAGTTGCCAAGATAGTACAGGGTTCCCAGCCTGCCCCAATGTCAACACCCTGGACATGGCACTAGGTTGTCAAAGCTAAGAGGCTCACACTGGTGTGTTATCAGCTAAAACCCAGGCCCTATTCAGAGTTCCAGGTTTTCCACTAATGTCCTTTTTTTGTTCCAAGATCCAATCCAGGATATCACACTGCATTTAGGACGACATTTTTAAAAAATTCTATTGATCACCTCAGTCATCTTTCCCTGGGACAGAGAATGGGTGGGAGAGCTGTTGTCTTCATTACTGAGCTGGGGAAACTGAGACTTGAAAACGCCAAGTGACCAAGATCTGTTAGCAGGTAGGGAGAGTGAGGCCCACCTCACTGTATACCGTTCCTCTGTCTCCCCTCCCCACCAGGACTCTTGGCTTTCAGAGGCCCCTTTGGAATGTCCCACCTGACCTACTCCATCCCACCAGTGCAAAAAGTGAGATGCCCCTTCTAAAGGGAACCCAGCCCTGAGAGAAAGCCACCCTGCCCCATCACCTCTTCCCTTAGATTTGAGGGCCAAGATAAAGTCTTAGTGACTTCTGCCTGGGCGGAGTGAGGCCCTGTGCAAGAGAGTGAGAGAAAAACACTGCTATTTGTCTATGCAAATAACTTGTGATAGATGAAAAATGCCACAAATTATTTTCAGTTTCTCTAAGAGGAATAGTCTCCCCCACGCCTTGAATCTGGGCCAGCCTTATGATTTGCTCTGACCAAAAGAACTTAGAGAAGTGATGTCATACCAATTCTGGGCCTAGAACTCAAGAAGCATTGCAGCTTCTATTCTCATTCTCTCGGAATCCTGACAGCATCGTGTGATTAAGCCTGAGCTACTCTGCTGGAGAGGCCACAAGGAGAACTAGTCACCCAGCCAACATCCCCCCAACTGCCAGACAAGTAAGTTAGGCCATCCTAGACCCATCTGAGGTGACAGCTGATTGCAAGCAGACCTAGGAATGATCCTAGGTGACATCAGAACTGTCCAGATGAACCCAGTCCAAACCGCCAACCCAAAGAACTGTGGGTAAATAAATGACTTGTTTTTAGCTGCTAAGTTTGGGGATGGTATGTTACACAGCAGAAGCTGATACCAATTACTCATTTCTTTCTTGGTAGTGGGGTTCCAATTTTACTATAGGAGGCAGTATGCCAGTCCCAGGAGATGGGATATGATTGGTCTACTCAAATGTGACAATTCTGTTCCCTGCTGTCTTAGCTTTCTTTGTATCTTGGGGTGGCAATGGTAGCTGGTTTGGGCTAAGGAGACCTAAGTGGAAATATTCCGGGGAGAGAGCAGGAAAAAGGCCTCTGAAAAAGGTCTGACTTTATGATAGAAGTTGACAGGTCCAGCTGGCTCAGTCCTTCCTTCTCCCCCACTATTTTTCCTAGAGGTACAACAGCCATCTTGTGACCATGAGGTCACAAACAATGAGGGAAAGACAGAAAGGACCACAGAGATGTGTGGCCTACCTTCACTGATACCGTTAGTCACCTGTCTCCAGAATTGATGCTATGTGGAAAAACAAGCTTCTCTTTGTTAACGTAGGTTTTCCTTTACTTAGAGCGAACTGTATTCCACATAACAGGATATACAAAGACAAAAATGCAGAAGGATGCTTGTCCTTGGGAATCTGGAGCCAGCTGCATATGGTTCTCCAAACCGATCTCCTTTCTCATTTCACCCTTTCAATGATCCCTCAAAAGCAAAGACACAACCCATTTTCACAGCTGTGGGAACTGGGCCTCCCATACTGTTCAGTAGTGAGTCCAAGGTCTTGCAGCTAGCAAAGAGAGTGCTTAGAGTCAGACCTTCCTCCCTCCATGCACAAAGAGAGTGCTTCTGTGCTACACCTTCTGAGTGGCCCAGCCCACTGGAAGCCAGGTGTGTCTTCTGGGATTTTAGGAGTGGTGACAGGTACCAAGGAGCCTGCTATTGCAAGTCTGGCGTGGAAGAACCCAGGTACACCCTTAAGTCTGAGATGGTGGACTGGACAAGCTTGGCAGGAATGGTCTCTCGCTGTAGCTGCTGGTAGGCCGCATAACGGTGGCAGCCCCCAAAGGAGTAGAAGTAGTCACCACCCTGAGCTCCTTTGATCCAGAGGACATCAATGGGGGGCACGCTGTCTGGATCCTCCTGGAGAGAAAGGGGCAGAGAGTAAATGAGCATGGAACAATGCTTGACAGTTTGCAAAGCAGACTTTGTTAACCTGTGTTGTTCCTACACAGTGTACACACTGGTTCATGCTAGCTTGTGAGAAACACTGCCAAATATTCAAGAATTTTGTGAGTTGGTTAACATCACCTTAGTAGCTTGAAATTCAGCGATGGTGAGAATATTTACAGCAGTGAAATGTGCAGATACTACAAATCAGGGCTTTTCCTCCTTAGAAACCAGGTGGTTAAACATTTATCAACACACCACATATACATCTGCATATACATACACACACACCATATATCTGTCTGGCACTGTTCTAGACTCTGGGAGTAAGTTACAGCCAGAACGAGACAGACAGCCCCTGCCTGCCCTCATGGGTTCCAGTCTAATGGGACAGATGAAAAGAAGTGAGTGCTAGAGTGATAAATGCTATGAATATAGTAAGACAGGTTGACATGACAGGGATGAGAGTCCCCAAGTCCTCTCTCAGGTGACAGTGGAGCAGAGAACTGGACATAGAGAAGTCCGCTTGGAGAGACAGAGAAGCGGAATAGTTTAGAGTAAGAGCCTGACTGCCAGGTTCAAATCTCAGCTCTCCTGCTTAACTGCTATGTGACCTTGGACTCTAGTCTCTTTGTGCCTAAGCAGCCTCATCTGTCAAATGGGGATGAAGGAAACATACTCACCTCAGCATGTATTCATTGGAAGATACTGGCCTGGCTGAGGGCATGGAGGGGAAAGGGAGAGGTGGACAAATTTGGGACATGTTTTGGGGGCGGATCTGAGGGGACTTGAGGAAGGGGTGATGAGGAGAGGAGGAGAACCGAGTTGACTTCCTGTTATGGGCCTGCAGCCAGCTGAAGAGTGGGTGGCCCTCTAGGGAAAGCCCGAGGCAGGGCTGGCTGGGGGGTAGAGCATGCTGGGGAGACCACATTAAATGTTAGCTGTCTGGAACGCCTCCTGCCACCGGCCCACACCTTCTCTTACTATGCTGCTTTAATGGATTCACTTATCCATTTATTCCAGAAAGGATTATCAAGCATTAAGTTACAAGCAGTAATGAGCCAGGTCTCCGCAACCAGGCAAACCTGAATTTGGATCTCAGCTCCCCCAAAGAGCAGCAGGAGGACCCTAAGCAAGTGGCCTGAGCATGACTCCTAATTGGTACAATGGGAGTAAGACACTCTGTGGGGCTGCTGCTGAAGAGGAAACTGATGCACGGCGAGCACTCTGCCCGGCAGTGGAGCATACGAGGGGCAGCCACGCTGGGTGCTGGTGGCGCGATGGTGGGTGGATGGGCAGAGTAACAGTTCCCCAGATGGCCACATCCTAACCCCGGGAGCCTGTGAATATGTTGCCTTCCATGACACAAGGGAACTGGCAGGTGCGATTATGGATGTTGACATGGGACGTTACTCTGGCAGAAGTGCAGGTCTGATGTTGCTGGCTTTGAAGATGGAGCAAAGATGCCATGAGCCAGGGAATGTGGTGGCCTCTAAAGCTGGGAGAGGCAAGGACATGGATTCTCCCCTAGAGACTCCAGAGAGGAATGCAGCCCTGCTGACACCTTGATTTTAGCCCAGTGAGACCCATTTTGGACTTCTAACTATAGAATAACAAACGTGTATTGTTTTAAGCCACTACGTTTCTGGTACTTTGTTACAGTAGCCATAGAGAACTAATACCTGTGGTAAGCAAAGACAGGTCTGGTTCTCGCCCTCACAGAGCATATGGTTCTATCGTGGAAGACAGGTGTCTGAACAGCCCATTAAAACCCAGTGGGATCAGAACTATGCTGGTGGGCATGCAGGTGGCTAGGGGCCCACAGGAGGCCCAAAACCCAGCAGGGGCCATCAGGGAAGACAGTGACCCTGAGACAGGAAGGCAGAGGAGTTAGAAAGAATGAAGAGATGGAAGAGTTTTCCTGGCAAGGTAAAAAGTCTGTGCAAAGGCCCAGGGTGCGAGACAGCAAGCATGGCTAGATCCTCCATAAACAGCCAGGCACTGTGCTAGTGCTGAGGGAACAGCCAAGATATGACAAAATCCCTGCTCTTGTGGAGTTCAAATGAGGTAGGACAAACAGACAATGAAAATACAAACAAATAAATGTGTAATATAATCGCAGGTGGACATAAGTGCTTCATGGAGAAATAACTCAGGTTAAGGGGGCAGATAGAGAGGCCAGGGCTCCATTAGTCACGGTGGACCGGGAGATAGAGACCTGAACCAAGCTGAAAGCAGGCCTGTAGCTACCTGGGGAAGCAGTTCCAGGCAGTGGAACAGCAGTGCAAACTCTAGGGCTGAAAGACATTTGGGGCAGCTATAGAGGTGTTTGGTGGGGCCTTGGGTCTCACATGGTCACCTTCCAAGGGTCTGAGGGAAGGAGGCAAGATGCCACACGGGCCTAACCTGACACATGTCCCCTCCCTTTCCCAAAGTTCCTACCAGGATCACTCCTGCATTCTTGAACACCCCCCTTCAGTGATGGGGCTGACTCCTGTCCTCTTCCTGTTCCAATTCAAACAAGGCACTCCCAGCAGACATGACATGCCTAGTCCTCCTGCACAGCCAGAAATGACAACACAGCTTATCTCCAGATAGTGTGGTGGCCAGGCCGTGCCACTTTCTAAACGTCTGACCTTGAAAAAGTTGCTTAAATCCTCCTGTGCCTGTTTTCTCATCTGTAAAAAAGGAACAATAGTATCTACCTCATAGGGTTGGTATGAAGAAGCTAAGGCACTTAAAACTGCTCCTAGGCCTCTGCAGAGTGCTATCTTTATGTTAGCGATCCTTATTTTAATCATTTCTTCAATCCCTTGCTTGCTCAAGTGAGGAAACAGGCCCAGAGAGGCCCAGCCAGTTGCTCAAGGTCACACAGCAAATGCTGTGCTCCGGCGCAGCCCGGAACCAGCTCCCTCTAGCGTCCAGTGCGACCTGCCTCCTCCAGAGCTCCCCCTCGGCCGGCGTCCCCGGGGCCTCACCCGGATCGTGTCCACGAGGCTCTGCACCTTGGCCGGGTCCAGCACCGACGGCAGCGGGCGGATGAGCACGCTCAGCGGCACGTTGTGGACCGCGGCGATGCAGCCCGAGTGGATGCT